CAATCTCCTGACATGAACCCCATCGAAAATCTCTGGGCCATACTCGACCGGCAAGTCAAGAAACAACCAAAAAAGCCAACTTCAAAGAGCGATCTACTCCAAGTTTTGAAGCAAGAGTGGGCAAAAATCCCACAATCTAAAATTGACGAGATGATTCTCACGATGCCTCAAAGGATCAACGAACTTTATGAAGCAAAAGGAAGATCTACTAGATTAAATTATAAATATATCAATTCATATGAATATGACTGAAAATTTTCATTTTTTCTGACAAGATGGTGTCTATTTACTTGTGACCATGCTGTGTATAACGAACATGCCTATCTTGAATATTTAAAAAATTTTCCATATTTGGTCAGTATCTCCAACTAATTTGGTTTCCCAATTCACAACCGATAATTCTTGTCTCATCTCTTCAAAATTAGCTTTTTTCATTAGAAATTAACAATAAATCCAAAATAGGATAGGTTATAGTAGATTTCTTAACCAAATATTGAAGAAAACCTGTCTCCCTCATGATTTGGCTCTTAAAATTTTCCAGTCTATATACCAGAAATTAAAATTTTTCATAATTATAACCTTATTAACAGCTGAATTCTTGACCTCATTGTAGAGTTTCTTATTAATTTCATCAGTTTCATCTGGTGGTCTGTAACAAATTCAAACTAAAAGCCTTCTTCCTTTATAACCACTAACAGAAATACAAATAGATTCAATCTCATTTCTCTTAGCTTTGATATCCTTAACTTGAACAGATTGTAACACCAATTTTACACATAATACTACTCCTCCACTCTCTTTTTTGGTACTTTATTCCTATTAAATAATCTACAACCCTGTATTTCAAAGACATTTCTGTCATCAAAACTGTCTATATTTAGCCAGATTTCAGTTATTTCTATTGTATCAAAATCCTCTGTTTTGACCAGTGCTCTAAGGTCATCCATTTTATTTCTTATACTTCTAGCCTTACAATAATAACAATTTAGCGTATCATTAATACTACCTTTGTACCTTGTTTCCACACTATACCCCTCTCTACATCTTATTTTTTCTTCATTATTCTGGCCCTTTCCACTGTCTAATCATAGTATAAAGTTGTCCTTACAGTTGACTTAATAGTACTTGTGAACATACCAGCTCCTACCCTGTTTAAATCTAAACCATCCATTCCAAAAAGTTCCCTTTTCCCGCTGAACTGATCCTACAAATCCAATCAGCTACTTTATTTATCACCAGAGCTGTAATATTCTTTTACTCTGAAGGTAACATCCTAGCCACAGTAATTATCACCAGAAATACAGTGTTATTTTACATCCAGATATCACCAGAATTGCATTATTGTTTTTAATTTCAGGCAACATAGTATATACATAGCATGACTGGGACACTATTTACTCAAATGTAACAGTAATGCCACAAGATGTGCTTGTGTTGTTTCCAGGTAGTGTTCAAGAAGAAAAATCCTGCTGAGCCAAATGATTCGGTACAACCACAACAGATGTAGCTAACAGAGCTAGTTGATGAAAGCAGAAGCTATAAGGTTTTGAATTGGAAAAAAATGTGCAGAATGGTATAAAGGATTTAATCTAGTATCATATCAACAAGGGATTATTAAAACCTTTTAAAACTTTTTAAGAATTTGATCTATTCAATGACTTAGGTGCCCCTAAATGGTGAGGAGTGGGTCATTGTTTATATAGCTTCTTAGATATAGAATTAAACATGCCAGGCTAATGTATTTTAAGCTGAGCAGTAAGTTATAAAAAAGTATATTCAATTATATGTAACAAGAACTTTTTAAAGGCTACTTTTAGTGTTTTACAAATATTTTTTGATTTATTATTTATTTATGTTTTCATTGTGATAAAACAATATATGAAAATCACCAGGCATTTTCGTAACATTTGTTCAGCCTCTTTTGTTTTTAATGTAAACAAACTATACAGTTGGAAAAAGTATGATTCCCCAGTAAAGGTTATTCAGAAAATTTCAGTGTAACCTAGCCCTTGTCTACAGTTTCACAAAGAAATGTCATGGTAATGTTTGGCAACATTGTTTTATTTTTGTCTTCATTTGGGAACTTAGTACTTTTTATTTCCTTTTGTTAACCCATTGACTGTGGCTGCTCTAAAAGCATGTGGAATTTTTGCAAGCCATACACCATATAAGGCACACTTGCATTCAACTGCTGGAGGTTGACCGTACTCTATACAGCAAATCAGCAGTCAATGGGTTAATAGTGTGTGTCATTATTGCAATAAAGAAAGTTGTGTTTTGAAATAAAGGTACAACAAATAGTGTTCAAAAAATTTGCATTTAATCTGGATACAGATTTAGACAGTAAAGAAATACTAAACTGTTTTTTTTTTCATCTAAAAATTAGCTCCATTATTCTCCCCCCCCCCTATTTTATCACTTTCTGTTACTAAGTAGCAATGAAACAACTTTCAAAAATCTGCTTTGCTAGCATTTTATTGTTCCTAATTTATTTGTACATGGAAGGGTGCTTCCAAAGCTGTGGAGAGGTACTCGCAATCTAGTGATTAGTTTTCTGGACTGTGGATTTGAGGTTCTGTGGTTCATACCTCATTACCACCTAAATAACAAAATTGTGCTCTGTACTTTAGAGCTGTAGATGCATTATAAGGAAATGGTCAAATCCCACCTTTCAATTAGAGCAGCCCACGAATTTGTGGTAGATGGTGTTGACTAGCTGTCTTCTCTCTAGTCTATCACTTCAAAATTAGGGATGGCTAGCACAGATAGCCCCTTGATTAGCTTTGCATGAAATTCAACAAAACAATAGTTCAAGCTGCATTCTTAATTCAGTTCAAGTAGGAAAAAAAACAGTCTTAATATCATTAACATAATACATTACTTAACACATTCACTGTTGCCTCGAAGCTCAATACCCAATAGAAAGAATGCACTTTCTTGGGTTGACTCGTTCTCAGCACTTCTATATGCTAACAGTAACAAGGGAATCTGCTCATCCCAAGTTTTCTGATCCTTCTCACAATATATATCTAACAAGGTTCTATTAAATCTTTCTACTAAACCATTAGCAGCTGGATGATAAGCTGTGGTTTCGATTTTATTCACACCTAACAATTCACAAACTTCCTTCATTAACTTAGAAATGAAGTTACTACCTCTATCTGTTAATAGATATTGGAGTATACCATGTCTAGCTATTATGTGATTTACAAAAGCTTTAGCTATTGTTTCTGCTTTTTGATCAGGTAAGCATATAGCCTCAGGAAACCTGGTTAAGTAGTCTGCACTACTAACACGTATTTGTTTCCTGCATAGGATGTGGGCCTAATATGTCCATAGCTACTAGCTGGAAAGGTGTTGTTAAATTCTGCATTCTTTGTAAAGGAGCGTTTCTCGAATGTGGGCTGGTTTTTCGCTTCTGGCATTCTAGACACGATTCACAGTACTCTTTAATATCTTTTCTCATGTTCGGCCAAAAGAACCTTCTGTTTATTCTACTATATGTTTTAGCAAAATCTAAGTGTGCCGTGAAAGGTGTATCATGATATGTTCTCATGACCTTCGTTCTCAACTTGACTGGTACAACTATTTGTAATGACCTATTGTACTTATTCTTTCTACATAACATATCGGAATCTATCATGTATTCTGTTTCTTCTCCTTGTGTTACTTTGTTGCTAACTCATTTGTTATTGGATCTTTCTTTTGTTCACTGACTACGTGATCTAAATCCCAAATTACTTCTAATTCGTTTTCAGGTTCAGGTTGTACTTCTTTTATCTGATTGATTGTTTGTATTTCTACAGTTTCGTTATTTTCTACTCTGATCCTACTTAATGCATTTACATTAGAATGTTTTCTACCCGGTCTATGTATTATTTCAAAGTCATAATCTTGTAGTAGTAAGGACCATCTAGCCAATCTAGAGGAAGGGTCTTTTAACGTCATTAACCATTTTAGCGGTGCTTGATCTGTAATAATGGTAAACTTTCTGCCGTATAAATAACAATGGAAGGTTTTTAATTCCATGTACTACAGCTAAGCACTCTTGTTCTGTAACTGAGTAATTTATTTCAGCTTTTCCTAACTGTCTGCTCTGATAAGCTATAGGGTGTTCCTTGCCATTTTCATCTAACTGTGATAAAACTGCACCTATAGCAAAACCTGAAGCATCTGTGCTAAGATAAATTCCTTACTAAAATATGGATAACTTAGGAATGGTGCTTTTAATAAAGCTTCTCTTAGTTTTTCGAATGCTCCCTGTCTTTTATCTGTCCACTGAAATTTTGTTTCTTTCTTAGTTAATTCAGTTGGAGGTTTTGCTAATAAAGCAAAATGTCGTATAAATCTTCTATAGAATCCTACAAATCCTAAAAATACCCAAATATCTTTTACTGTTTTAGGTACAGGATAATTTATACAGACTTCTAACTTTTTAGGGTCTCGTTTTACATCATCTGCAGTCACTAAATGACCTAAGTATTCTACCTCATTTTCAAAAACTGACATTTGCTTGGTTTAAACTTTAAGTTTGCCTTTTTTAACCTATCGAATACATGCCTTAACCTTTCTAAGCGCTCTTCAAAAGTTGCAGCGAACACTATGACATCGTCTAAGTAACAAAAACATTTGGAATCTTGCAAGCCTGATAGTACAACATCCATTAACATCTGGAATGTTGACAGGGCATTGCATAAGCCAAAAGGCATTCTGTTAAACTGGTATTTACCTGAAGGTAATACAAAAGCTGTTTTAAATTTATCTTCATCTTCTATTTCTACTTGCCAATATCCACTTTATAAATCCATAGACGAAAAATATTTACTCTTACCTAACGTATCTAAGGTTTCTTGGATATTAGGTAATGGATAAATGTCTTTGACTGTTACTCCATTCACTTTTCGAAAATCCACACAGAACCTTAATTTTCTATCCTTTTTAGGAACTAATACAAATGGAGATGCATACGGACTATTACACCTTGTTCAAGCATCTCTTTTACACATTCTTTTAATTCAACCCTATGTTTTTCTGGCACTCTATAAGGTCTCTATGCTGTAGGTTTATTATTATTTAACACTATCATATGTTTAACCTTGTTTGTACAACCGTTAGTCATTTTCTCCTACAAATAAATCTCTACTCTTCTAACAAGTTTATCAACTTTTGTTTATGTTTTCGTTCTATATTTCCTAAGATAGACTCCCAGTCTATCCTACTTTGTTGTACCTGTTTATTAACATTATTAATGTTATGCTGTCCTACCACAGCCAACTGTTCTCTACTACTAGCTTTACCTACTACTATGTCCTTAGGTAGTATTACTTTTTCTTCAATCACATTTAACACTTACAGGCACTGTGTCTCTCTTGGACACTTTACTTATACTAGCAGCTATATAAACTCCTGTTTCTTTTATTTCGATAGGCTCAACTAGCACTTCTTCATTATACTAAAAGTCATTTACTTCTCGCAGGTACTTCAGTTAGTTTAACTAACCTCACAGGAACCCTGTCTTTCAAACACACTGCTTATGTTAGGCATAAGTGTAGAGTCATCTGAGGGGTTTGAATTATTAATTTCCTGTTTAAAAGGCTCATTCACTAACTTATTCTGCCTTATCTTACTATCACTCACATTATCTTTATGACTTCTGCTACTTTTAGTGTCTTTCTGTGCAGTCCTATATCTCGGCTTTCTTGTAGAACTTTCTTTGGGACACTTCTTATTCTTACACCTGACTTTTTCATGTGTCACTACACTTTAGTAAGAAGTCAGTGCTTTCGTATTTTGATGATTGATCATTAGCCTCGCTAATGCTAGTGTTAGGCGTCTGACTATTAGTCAGTGGGAAGGTATCATGTGTCTCAACTGTTGCACATAAGTTTGAAGGTTCAAGTCCTTCAAAACTTAAGACCTCTGTTTCTATGCGTAGCTTACTTTGGGTAAGAGATATTTCAGTGTCGTAAGTTCTTAAGAAATCTTGCCCTATAATGCCATCTGTATCTAAGTCTGCTTACAGATGTAAAATGAGTGTTTTAACTCTAAGTTTTGTACTTTCATTTGCATATTATATTTACCTAACGTTTTAACAGGATGTCCTGTTAAAGAAGTTAAAATACTTCTAGAAACTTCTTTCCAGGCATTATCTAATAATGTCGGATTTCTGTCTACTAATTCTGAACTTAGTAGGGATGATATAGAGCCTATATTAACCAATAACCGATATAATATACCTTCTGTTTCTACTTTAACTATTGGTGATACTTAATTAACACTATGAATACTCCTGTAGCAAAGGTAGGGCTACTGTTATTATTGGGAAGCTTTCCTCTGTACGCTCCAGCCTTTGGGGTTTTTCCGTTTTCATCCTTCCGTGGGCATCAGCAATCTCATGCCATGTAGCTTGTAATGCCACAGTTGTAACACGCTGTCTGCTTGTTACTTTTCTGCTTTTGAAAGCAGTTTCTTGCTTTGTGCCCAACTTTACCACAGTTAAAGCACTTGAAGCCATTGGGCTTACTCTGTGTATTAGACAGGTTAGCCTTGCTAGACTTGTTAATTGCATTTATAGCAGAATGTTTAGGCCTATAGATCTGCTTTTCTCATTGCTCTTCTCGAGTAACTACTTCAGTTATGTCTAGTAAAGTTGCATGACGAGTATTTGTGTAACAGGTTAGCGCTCAGGTGAGCTTAATTGTTGGAGTTTCAATTAAAACCAACCTGTACACCTTATTTATTTGTTGGAGGATTTGTCGGGACGAGTGGAGCCACAAGTCGCTAACTCCAGGAGTTT